GGGGGAGACAAAACAAAACAACAGACCATTTGGCTTTTCGTGGAAAAATATTTTTTTTATAAAGACATGGCACACCAGAGGTAGTTATAGTAGCAGACTTCGTGAAAGACATGGACACTTACACTTTTTTTTGTATATATGTATATATGTTCGGTTATATACCATATCATTGCCAGTAACATTGTAATGTTCATAAAACAACAAAAGGGACAATGACTTCAAGGAGGATAATGAGCAGCAATATTAGAACTAAATGACTGTAATTATTTTGTAAATATTCATAAACCGCTTCTAGTAACGAAAACAAAAAAATGGTGTCAGAATAGAATATTTAATCAACAAATTATTTTATGTTTAAACTCTTATTGCTACGAATAAATAATGCGTTGCTGTTTAGGTAGATATTGCTTTTAGTCAAGGAAATTCTCCACAAAGAAAAATTGATAATGAATGAAAAAAATAGAACAAATTCTGTTAGAACTTTACGCTGCCTTGTAATTTACGAGAATATTACCTTAATCAAAATTCTAAACCATATAAATGATATATAAGAAGCAATTCACAAAAATTCATATGTTAATTATCTTCTCTTGATTCAAGTTTTCTTTTACCTTTGTAGTATTCTAATAGGTGACATTTTGTCTGCCATTGTACCCCATTGATGGTAGCGTAGCTGCCTTAGGCTCGAGTAGGCACGTGCGAACACATTATTTTGTCAAGTTTTCATTTTTAGTCAGCGTAAGTTCATAAAATTGAACAAGAGGCCCAGAGGGCCTGTATCGCTCACCTGCATATGTTTAAAATAATTGGTATGAAGTAAAGATATAGCACTCCATGGTAGGTGCTGTAAGTACATATGAAATTTCAGAAAAATCCATCGAGTACTTGAGATATAGCGAGAACAAACTTCAAACAGAGCCCCACCCCAATGCCCCTAGCGGGGTCATACACACCAAGTATACAAAATTGAGTCCCCTTAACCCAAAGATGCTCCAGACTAAATAAGGATAACATCTCTTAATCCCGATGGTCGAAGAATGATTTTAAAGGTTTTACCTCTATTTCTCCTATTGGGCCCCTGCCCTTCTGCCCCCTGGGAGACCACACCCACAGCTTATACAAAATTGAGTCCCCTTGGCCCAAGGATGCTCCAGACTAAATTAGGATAAAATCCCTGAATCCCTATGGTAGTAGAAGGGTTTTAAAGGTTTTAACTCTATTTCCCATATTGGGCCCCACCTCTCTGCCTCCAGGGGGGTCAGACATACCGTTTATACAAAATTGGTTCCCCTTCACCCAAGGGTGCTTCATACCAAATTTGGACAAAATCCTGTCATTCTTACAGAAGAAGAAAGGATTTTGAAGAATTTGCTATGTTTCCCTTATTGGGCCCCTCCCTTCTGTCCCCAGGGGGGGCCACACTCGCTGTTTATACGAAATTAAGTCCCTTTTGCTTAAGGATGCTCAAGACTAAATTAGGATAATATCCCTTAATCCCTATGGTAGAAGAAGGATTATAAAGGTTTTACCTATATTTCCCTTTTGGGCCTCGCCCCTCAGGCCCTGGAGGGGTCAGGCCTACGGTTTATATAAAATTGGTTCCCCTTCACCCAAGGATGCTTCAGACCAAATATGAAACAAATCCTTTCATTCCTACAGAAGGAAAAGGATTTTAGAGAATTTGTTATATATTCCCCTATTGGGCCCCGCCCCTCAGCCCCAAGTGGGACCAGACCCACCGTTTATACAAAATTGGTTCCCTTTTACACAAGGATGCTTCACACCAAATATGGACCAAATCCTTTCATTCCTATAGAAGAAGAAGGATTTTAAAGAATAATTTGCTATGTTTCCCCTATTGGGCCCCGCTTCTCAGGCCCTTGGGGGGCCAGACCCACGGTTGATACAAAATTGGTTCCCCTTCATCCCAAGATGATCCACACCAAATATGGAACAAATCCTTTCATTCTTAAAGAAGGGGAAGGATTTTAAAGAATAATTGGCGATGTTTCCCCTATTAGGCCTCGCCCCTCAAGCCCCTGGGGGCCATACCCATGGTTTATACAAAATTGGTTCCCCTTCACCCAAGGATGCTTCAGACCAAATATGGAACAAATCCTTTCATTCCTACAGAAGAAGAAGGATTTTAAAGAATTTGCTATATTTCCCCTATTGGGTCCCGCCCCTCAGTCCTCAGGGGGGCCAGACCCACCGTTTATACAACATTTGTTCCCCTTTATTCAAGAATGCTCCACACCAAATATGGACAAAATCCTTTCATTCCTACAGAAGTAGAAGGATTTAAAGAATAATTTGCTATGTTTCCCCTTTTGGGCCCCGCCCCTTAGCCCCCAGGGGGCCCAGACCCACCATTTATACAAAATTTGTTTCCCTTCACCCAAGGATGCTTCTGACCAAATTTGGTCAAAATCTGCTCAGTCGTTCATGGCTAGTAGCGTTTAAAAGGAAAAGTTGACGGACGGACGACGGACGACGGACAACGGACGCTGCGGTATGGCATAAGCTCACCATGGTCCTTCGGACCAGGTGAGCTAAAAAATTAATGTGTTTTCACTAAAATAAAAGATCATATTATATCCAGGATGTTTTGCATATGTTTAGTACAAAATATGAAAAACCTTTTTTTTTTCTCCGCATCCAAAAAGACCTTGTAACACTGAAGTGCAATACAACTTTCAAGCTGACATTTAACAACCGTATTACAGGCACAACCAACGGTGAACAAGTTTATGGTTACAGTTCGAAACGTCAAAAGTTCAGAGACCCAATCAGTTCAGATCCCCCTCAAAGTGAAACTGTATCGTCTCCCGAGGCTACTCAACATAAGTCGCCATTCGTAAATAACAGCAATATTTGGACCTAAACTAATTTGTTCAGAGTAATTTTACACGTTTTGGGGGTTTAGCTCAAATTTCGGTAAAAATGCCACAGCACGACTCGTATAATTTATATCATCATTGGGGTGGCATTTTTTATCGAAATGTAGCTGTGACAATTTTTCAGGTCCCTGTGAGGTGGAGGTAGGCTAGCACTAAACATGCTTGATAACCAAGGTAACCCTACCTATTCACTTTCCAATTTTTCGAATCTCTATTACAATCTTTCCATATACCCATTAATGATAAGGATTCGGACCTCTGCTTCGTTTGTGTTGGATTCTGAAATTTCACCAGAATCCTTATAACTAACGTTTTATCGCCGCCTCATCTTGTTACTCAACCAATATATAGTGCAAACTTAGTACCGTTTAATTGAATTATGGAATTTGAAGATTTAAAAAAAAATCGATCATTCTTGAACATCCTCTTCTTAAAAATGTTCTTACATTACGCAACAGCTCCCCATACAAAATAGAAAGAACGTCCTCGTTTTCTTATTATGAGAGGTTTCTTGTCAATAAATTTGTTTAGGGCATGTTTTGTGAAAAGCACTACAAAGGCTAAAATAATTAAACAGATGTTGAAGTTGTTAGAATATTAAGTCCGGTGGCAAGACTTCCCATCAGTAAGCTGACTGTAGCCATTCCTATGGGAAGAAATTGTGCCCCTCCTCTGGCCGACTTTTTTTGGTTTGGTTACGAAGCGAAATTTATTGATAAGCAATCAGAACAAAACAGAAACCTTAGCCAATTGCAAGTCCTTCAATTTTACATTCAAATACATCGACGATATGATGTCTTTTTTTAAAAAAACAAGAATTTTATTGACCGCGTCGAACTTGTATACCCTAGGGCTCCCGAGCTTGAAATTAACTACACTACATATTCCTTTAAGTCAGTAATTTTCCTTAATCTTTATATAACATAATCAAGAGACCTCTTAAAAGTACGCTTCGATAAGCGTGACTATTTTGATTTTCCGAATGTGATCTTTCCCTTTCTTGAGAGTAATATTTTATTGATATTCAAGAGTTTGTTGCAAATAGCCAAACTTCAAAACTTCATGACTTCATCATGATATTTTTTATTATTTTATTAAGCAATAGGCAAAAATGCCTTTGTGCATTACATAATAACAATCCACATAGGTGGTACAGGTGGAGTGGAACATGAACATGGACAAAGAAATATATTTTGTAATTGGTATAATACACATACATGCAGCGACAGGTACGAGGACTTATTTTCAAACTACCCACATTTAGGTAACCAGATATCCATTACCACGTGTTTCATAGCCGTAGAGAAAGTACATATTGTTTGATGATGTCGAAGATGAATTTCATTTTATTATTAAATGCCCCTGTTATTCTGATTTACGTTAGAAATTTAAAAAAAAGTTCTATTGTAAAAAACCGAGCATGTTTAAATTAATTCAGTAATTTAACGGACAAAACACAAATGAATTAGCAAAATTGGCCAAATACATTAAAGCTGCAAATTCAAGAAGAGCTTTATTAACATAAGTAGTTATGCTCTCCGAGTGTTTTGTCTCGTCTGTGTATTTATTAGTATTTTCGATATTTGTCAATGTTATGAGAAAGTATATATATATATATATATAT